CGGGAAGCTGTTATTGGTTGTGCAGTCAGCAATCTCGGAAAACATAAAGTAAGTTTTTTTTACTATTATAATAAACTCGTAAATGTCACACTTAGTCGCTTGAGCAGTCCCTTAGTGAAGTTCTATTTAAAGTAAATAAATCTCAAATTTGGAATGGAGAAGGGGATTTGTCAGTTGTCCCGTCTTCTCTCGATTAAAGAAAGACGACGCATTTGTAATTCCGTATGGCTATAGCCAGCAGTCGCTTTGCTGTTTTGGCGAATATAAGTGGCGGCTTCCTTGTTCGCCACCTCATCTTACTAATATTATAAATGCGAATGCTTGGATGGATGTTTGTTAGAAGGTATCTCCAAAACCGTTCAACGGGTCTCGATGATATTTGGGCTTAAACGTAGAATATAGTCTGGAAGAGCACAAAGGCTACTAATTAAATTTTTAATGCCGCGCAGACGGAGTCGCAGACGTCTAATAGTTTATGATAATAAAAGAAAAAATGCAATACTACAACGCTGTAAAACTTTAACACTTAATTAGAACAATAGATGTTGTTAGTTCACGAGATGACCTGAACTTTGTCCAGTAGTTGCGCTGAATTAATTGAGGTTCATTAATTTTATTATCATCCTAACAAGTAAGTGTAATGAACGTATCCTAATAAAGCTAATTTTGGCAACGTGTGTACTTTGTTATATATTCTTAATCATATTACATAAAAAATCTAACTAAACTTACTTCTTACTAATATTATAAATGCGAATGTTTAGATGGATGGATGTTTGTTTAAGGGTATCTCCAGAACGACTGAACTAATCTCGATGAAATTTGACATAAATATAGAAAATAGTCTCGAAAAGCACATAGTCTACTGATTATGTTTTTTTTTTAATTCCGTGCGGACGGAGTCGCGGGCGACAGCTAGTGTGTATAAAATACGATTATTAAATTTGACAGTGATCAGTATTAGGTATTTGCTGTCCATACACGGACCAGTTTGCAGTCGCATATAAAACACGCGGTTACTCCCAAATGGTTGAAGTAATCCGTGTATTACCAACCTTAGGAATAGAAAATATGCTGAACAATGGGAACTAATCGAAAAAGAGAAACAAAAGAAAATCATAGCGTAAAAGAAAAACAAAAGAGGACAGAATGAGCAAATGCACGGGCTTACCTTACCCCATAGTTAAGCTTAACCAGTACATTTTAAGTAATTACCTACGGAAAATACAGCTTTATTAATACACCTCTTGTTTTTGTTATTTCGCAATATTCAACAAAAATACAGAAAGAATATGTTCCTTTGTGACAGAAGCAAGGGCTATTTTCCAATTTATGACGTACTGCGTTATTAAAAGGGACTACTACTCACTTTTGGGAATCTGCAAAATGACTTTTTATTTCAAAGCGGAAATATTCAGTTATTAAAAAAATCATACATACTGTCGAACTGTTTACTAAATGTTCAGATTAAAAAACAAAATAATAAATAAAGAAGGAAAACTTGGAAGATTTGACGAAGACAGTCACTGAAGCAAGCGGCAAATAAAATTCATTAAAATAGGGAAGCGACATCTACCCATAGATATCCGTAATTATAGATTCGTTGCTTACCTTCAATCGACAGAGGAGTGGACGCACTTAAATGCTATATTTCCCCTTCGTATGAGTCAATTCCTCCGTCAAATCCACTTCAGGGGAAGTGGTGAATAGTAAGGGACCATCCTTGCCTTATGAAAAAAAATGTGAAAGGGATGAAGACTATAATTAAGTCTCGAGGAGTAGTGAGGGGAATAATGGTAAGAATCATTTTCTTATAAACTTTATAATTACCTTGTTCCCAGGTGGGTTGGCTCCGTGCGGAGGACCAGACGGTTCTAACAATGCACGACCGAGCGGTCCTCGGGGCGCGGTACTCAGTGAACATGGACGCTCCGCACACGTGGCAACTACGTATAAGACCACTAAGAGCTGAGGACCGTGGCTGCTACATGTGTCAGATCAACACACAGCCGACAATGATCTGGCAGATTGGATGTATAGATGTATTCGGTAAGTGATCATGTTTTAAATCTTGTTTTATGCTACGTTTTTTTTCATACCAAACGAGCGAGCAGCCACCTGAAATCGCTGATATAGCGAAGTGACCGTTGCCCATAGACATACGCAACTGCATATGCGTTGCCTACCTTTAATCGACGGAGGAGAGGATGCACAGAAAGAAAATATATTCCCTTTCCATGCATCCTCTCATCCGGAAAGTCCATTTCCAATTCCCATCCTTTCCTTATAAGAAAAAGGTGGGAAGGGAAAGAGGACTAAATTAGGCCTCCGGGACGCACACTCATCAGACGAAACGCGGAATTGCTTCCACTTCACGCCTGTCTTCTGTGCGGTCGTGGCATTTCACCGGCGAGCCGGACCAATTCGTGCGAAGATGTTAAAGCGGTCTCTAACACTGTTAATACTAAAGAAAACACGTATGTTAATACTAAGGAAAACATTTTTTCTCAACAACATAGCTTAGAGCCACGCCCGTAACCTAGCGGGGTAATTAGAGAATGTAGACACACATTTGGCGCAGTCCTGTCATACCTCTTTTTCTTCTAGAATTGTTTCTCACTTTATAAAATGTCAAATACATATCTGTACAATAGATTATTGATTTTCTTTTCGTGCAATGTCTACAATAATAATCTCAAAGGCTTTAAGGCTAACTTAGAATCTAGATGTTGTAAACAAATATGTTTACAATATCTAGGTTCTAAGTTAGTTTAAACGATACATAACGTACTATAATTTTTAAAAACCAAACCAAAAATAAAAAAAAAGCTAAAATTTCTTATTGTTAACACGCAAACAAACTAATAAAATATGTTTTGTAACAAATGTCTAAACAAAATAAAGGGTTAGGTCGAAATGTAGCTGAGTGGAAGTGGATTAAAAAGGCGCGTATCTTTGCTGTTCACTAGTATATTTACAATATCGTCGCCGCGCCCAGTGGCCCAGTCGACGCTGCTTCTAGGCCAGGTGAGACAAGGCTGATCGATCGACAAGACATGATAAGGAATCGATTCTATTCTAAAATACAAAACAGTTTAACAATGATTGAAATTAATTGAATCAAAACTGTCGCATTCAGAGTCGTTAAATTCGTTTTTACAGTACATTTTGTATGAGAAATCTTGTAGCATTTTGTCAGTTCGTACCTAAAAAAGCGTCACTAGCCTAATGGATAATGGTACGGATTTCCGATCACGTGGTCGGGAGTTCGAATCCCGCCATTCGATTGTCGTAAACCATGTCCTATAACAAGCCTAGAGCGTAGTTGCAATGGTATCAGAAATATTAGTAAACTAGCTGTCACCCGCGACTCCGTAAGCGCGGAATTATAAAAGAACATAATGAAGCCTATGTGTTCTTTCTGACTATGTTTTATATGTATGCCAAATTTCAACGAGATCCGTTGAGCCATTCTGGAGATAACTTGAAACAAATATCCATCTAAACATTCGCATTTAATTTGCCTCTAACTGAGCACACCTTTTGAATATTAGGTAAGAGTTTGGTAATATTGTTGGGGCGACATTTGCATGCGACAGCGACGTCGAGATTTCTTTTTCAATTTGGAACTTGTTCCTCGCTTTATTGACTTGAGATGTCGCCGCATTCGCCCGAAACCATGTGAACTTTAGATAGGTTTAAATTCATTGGGGACACTGTTAAAATGATAGTAATTTTTTCATACTTATATTAATATTAACTTTGTTTTAAATAGTACAAAACTAATTAAAGTAATAGTGTACTTTAACCAATGTTCAAAACAAAGTTCAAAGTTTTTCGAAGTTCAAATACGGCTTTATTCGTTTTATATAAGTCGCTTGAAATATGTTGATTATTGAAAAGGTTATAAACGACATTTGGACAGACAAAAATGTTACCTTAAACGAAGTTCGCATCTTAAATAACGAATTGAAATCGTAGACTGTAAAATAAAATAAAAATGCTATTATTTTTATTATTATGAAAATTAATATTAAGTTATAAAACTCTATCTTACTAATATTATAAATACGAGTTTTTAGATAGATGGGTGGATGGATGTTTGTTTGAAAGTATTTAAATAACGGTTGCACGAATCTTACTGAAATTTGGCATAGCTGTAGAACACAGTCTATAAGAACACATAGGCTACTAATCAAGTTTTTTTTTAATTCCACGTAGATGAAGTCGCGGGCGATATCTAGTAATATTATATCGGCATTCTTTCTTCTCTAGATATTTTCTATTAATTAATATTTGCCTTGAAAAGAGAAGCTATACATAAAAGTAGCGCCTCTATTATCTTGACTATAATGAACAATGGATTATTAAAGTGATAATAGTTATTAGACTTAGGACTTTATTATTCTTTTAGAATCAAGGTAGAATTTAAATTTTCTAGAACATTCAACAATACTGTAAAATTGGAATACTCGTAGAGAAAGGATTTGTGTGTTGCTTTTGTTTGTTGAAACGTACCTAGTCTCTATATAAAATATAACGTCTCCCTGTTATTATGTTTGACAAAACAGAGATTAAAATAAGTTTTAAAGAAAGATTTTGGTATCAGAAATCCACGGTAAACGACTTATATTCTAGTAAAGACAATTGACACATAAAGAATACGCTGGCCGAACTTGTAAGTCAATAAACTATTCGAAATTGGTCAATAACTACTGAAATTAGAGTGTAAAAGTTGAAAAGTCAAAGTAAAACAGTCGACCGGCCTCACAAATTTTGCATTCCGACCTCAGAACGCGGAAAGTTTTGCAATTTACTTTTATTTGTATTCGCGATTTGCATGAGGCCTCGCGCAAGGAAGTCGCGGTTCCTTTTCCAATTTCCAACTCGTTCTATATTCGGCCGGCGAACGACTGCGGCGACTTTTCGATCGGCTTCACTTTGCTATTTGTTATTTTATTATTATACTTTTAATATGTTTACGATTGTTCTATAAATCAGTAATCGATGCTTAACTTCGATTTGAAGATTATTTTAATTACTTTCTGTGAGAGGGATTGTTACAAAGATTCTACTGTCATATAAACGGTAAACCGGATTCAACTGTTATCCATAAACGAGTTAGATTTTAATTAAATACAGATTTAATCATTTTAATTGAAATTAAGTTAGATAATGGAAAATTGTTCGAAATCCATTCTTGAGTACGGTCATAAAAACTTCACTTTTCATGCTCATATAATACGGTCGTGTATATATTATACATAGTACCTGTCGCCGGCGACTCCGTCCGCTCTAAATTTAAAAAATAAATAATTAGTAGCTTATGTGTACTTCCAGACTATGTTCTACAATCATGGTAAATTTCATCGAGATCCGTTCAGGCGTTCTGGAGATACCATCAAACAAACATCCATCCATGTAAACATTCGTATTTATAATATTAGTAAGATACTCGTATAATATAATATTTTAAGTGCGAATGTTTGAATAGATGGATGTTTGTTTGAAGGTATCTCCGAAACGGCTCAAAGGATCTCGATGAAATTTGGCATGATTGTAGAACATAGTCTGGAAGAACACGTAGTATAATCATCATTAAGTTTGTTTTTAATACCGCGCGGACAGTCTCGCGGGTGACTGCTAGTAAATAAATATAGTTTCTTCTGTCCTCCACTATTCATCACGAGAGTGAGTTCGTCCTGTATACGTAGTTAATTGCATTTTAAATTTACACAAAATCTGATGTTAATAAAATTTAAGTAGTCCGTAAACAAACAATAAATGGGAGTAGTATTAAAACAAACGGCTGTTTACAGCACTCTCAAATTAATTTGTACCTCTATTTAAACAAAATAGGCTTTGTTTTAATTGATGTTCTTTAACGAGCGAGTGCTACTAATTAGTAGGAAGGAATGTTGAGCTTTGTTATTGGCACAAATAAGCCTGTTTCATATTTCAAACTATATGTTCTATCTATATATCTTTATATATATAATTCTTCTGTGAGTGTGTATGTCACTGAACTTCTCTCAAACGACTGGACCGATTTTGATGAAATTTTTTGTGTGTGTTCAAGGGGATCTGGGAAAATTTTAGATTCACAATTTTGTCCGCTGGACAATGTTTTTTTAATTAATTTTTAATTTCTTAGTAGTTGTTGAAGAGCTGATTTTTATTTAACTTACTAATATTGTAAATGCTAATGTTTAGGTGGATGTGATGTGGATGGATGGATGGGTGTTTGAAGATATCTCTAGACTGGTTGAACGGATGTCGATTAAATTTGGCGTACGTATAGAACATAGTCTGAAAAACACAAAGGCTAATAATTAGGTTTTTTTATATATCCACGCGGACGGAGTCGCGGTCGACAGCTGGTATTACATAAAAACGGCTAAAGCGACGGGCCGCGTCCGCGAAATAATACCAGTCCCACTCACCCAGATGAAGAGCCATCGTTAGGCTCGAAACTAATCGTTGCCGCCAACGGTTTAATATATGTGAGAGTTTTAGCATTTTTCATATATGTAAGTTTAAACTGATACGCGTTTTATTGTTGCAGTTCCTCCGGATATAATAAGCGATGACACATCGTCAGACGTATCGGTACAAGAGTTAGAAAACGCTACACTGACTTGCAAAGCAACTGGTCATCCGCCCCCGAAGATCACCTGGAGGAGAGAAGACCATGAACCGATCCTGCTCAAGAAACCACAAACTAGAGAATTCGAAAAGGGTAAACCCATAATATCACTATGTTAGTAAATTAAACTGCTAGTTTCCAGTGAAATACATGTTTTGTCTTCCTGTTTGTAACGTTTGCTTCCGTCTATAAAAGGTACAGATTAGGGTGAATATAAATTTATTAACCATGGGTTTCCGAGATAATCTTTGTATAAAATAAAATCCCTGTCATTGTCGTTGATAAAACAGAGGTGACAGAGTTTTAAAAGGAGATTTAGGTCTCGGAAACCCACGGTAAGTTAAAGTGTAATATTTCAATACCACTAAAAACCAGGCGATAGTTTATTCATTGAAAAGAAACACAATGTTTATGTTTGGCTTACATTATGCCAGGAGGACAGTAGCGCTGGCTAGGTATTGACTGTTTTGCTCAATGGTGCCAGTTAGTGATTACATTATGCCAGTTGTATACCGGCGCTGATTTTTACCGCTACTGTCTTACTGTACTGGTATACTGTAAACCAGTCATTGTATTGTTTACATCTTGTTGAAATAAGTGCTTGTTCATTAAAAACTTATACTTCTTACTTTAAGAATGTAATATGAAAATCTGTTGGATTTTTTTCAATGAAATGTTTTATCCCATAATTTTCTATCTCGAGTTAATCCATCGATCCTTGGAACTTGTCTGTACGAGGCAGAGTTCGTTAACAATAAAATAAGAGGAAATCTCCCGGTATTTCCAATTGAATAGCGATCCAGTACGTCGGTGTATTTGAACAGATACGGAATTCTTTTTTTGTATAACTCTGTGGTTAGATGAGTGGAATTCTGATAAATATTTACATATTTATTATTTTATATGAGAAACAATTCAGTACGATGAATGTATTAGCAATACTTTTGAAGTTTTAATACGATAAACCTATTTATTTTTATTACAGACCGTAGTACGTTAGAAAGCAAAGAAATAGGGATTTAGATTGAAAAATCTACACTAAGGCTCTTCCTTAGTAAACTGGAAGTATAGAGTATAAATAAATTGTGTTTTGTTTTAAATTTTAGAAAATTAATAGATTTTTGTACAGTTTATTTTACTTTCAAATGTTAGCGATTTCTGTTATAATAAAAACCTTGTGAATATGCAAAATAGAGATGTAAATATTGAAAAATATTCAAAACCAGCTATCGTATATATTTTCAGGAAATAGTTTCACAATGTTGGCAGGCGTTCCACCTCGTATGTAGGACGCAGGTGTGCGGGCAAATTGCTCTCGGGGAAGCCGAAATGCTCCTTACTTTTTTCTTAACACACGAACTATTCCAGACTACAAGACGTGTTTGGTTTAAATTAAAAATGTTTATACAAGAATTTCAGTAATAATAACACTTTTAAATCTTATAACATCTAATTATGTACTGATGATTGTCCTGCTGGGATCCAAACAATTCAAGCTTAAGTTAACATTTACATTGTGTTTAGTTAAGACATACGTGTGTATGAATAACTTAACACCAAACTAGGGTCCTTCAAGAAGCGAGTCAGTCAGAGTCATCGGCAGTTCCTCATATGTTGCAGATGTCCATGGGTGTCGTTGATCACGTCGGTGTTCCCAATGTTCTTTTGCCCACTTCCCTTAAAAAAAACAGAACACTTTAACAGAACTGAACGCGGCTGTACAGTAAAAGGTATATGAAGCTTATACCTTTTTCTTAGAATGTTTAATGTATTTTTAATTGCAGTGGAAAGTTACGTGGGCAGTTCGCTGCCTTTGTTGCGAGTTGACAGACGACAAATGGGCACCTTCCTCTGCATCGCCTCAAACGACGTCCCCCCCGCTGTCAGCAAGAGGATAACCTTACTTGTTAATTGTAAGTTAAACAATGTAAATTTGAGTTTCCACTGTTGAGGTATTTGTACAGAAACATTTTTCAATGTCAATTTAAATGATTTGTTAATAGGTTAATATTCTTGCATATATAAAATCTAATCTTGTTTGATCTCGATTCGAATACTTTGACAAGTCTTGAGTACTGACCAATGTTTTTTATATCAAGTGTCTTGAAAGGCTTACATCTAAAATAGTTAATTTTTTTGTCACATTGCGTATTGTCGCAAAGTCAGTAGACTTAAATAATATTTCATACATCTTTTTACCGCGACGTGGTGTGCGCTGAATTAAATCGACAGTAATAAATAAGGGCTACTTTATTCAATGAATTCAATGATAATGTTGCTTTCTAATAGGATTTTTTTTTTCAAATAGGTCCCAATAGTTTTTAGTTTATTCCTTCTTATGATTTTCTTCTTATATATCTCTTAATATTATATATTAGTGTAATACGTATATTAACTTACGTGTTTTTTTTTATTTAGTTGCACCAACGGTAAAGGTTCCAAATCAGTTGCTTGGCGCGCCGCTGGGCACTGATGTCAAACTCAAGTGCTACGTGGAAGCCTATCCTAACACTATCAACTATTGGATTAAGAACAGAGGAGAGATGCTTTTAGATGGGTAAGATTTAATTAGACATTCGCTTTACGATTCTAGACTAGCAGAAATATAAACAACTTGTTTTAATTGAAGTAGATTTTGCTCGATTATATCCGCGCGGGACAAAAAAAGAGCATAACAAGTAGCCTATGTGTTCTTCCAGACTATCTTTTATATGTATGACAAATTTAATCGAGATCCGTTTAGCCGTTCTAGAGATACCTTCAAACAAACATCCATATATCTAAACATTCGCATTTATAATATTAGTAAGATAAATCAGTGCTTATTTGATAGTAAGTGACTATGTGATCGAAGGATGGAACGCCCTAACTTAGTAAATACCTAATCACTCACTTGAAGGCACCCACGTTAAAGCTGGACGGAAATACTGATGTCGGCAACTTATTCCAATCCTTTACGAAACATACAGCTTAGTTCTATTTTTATGTATGCATATCAATTCAATTGTAACTTCCTGTAGCCTAAACATAGAATCTATAAACATGTTGTTTTTTTAATTTTCATTTTAATATGCCAGTTATATGTAGTATTTTTGTTCCAGTCCAAAGTATACGATAAGGGAAGAGAAGACATCGTACAAAGTATCGATGTGGCTCACAATAAAACAGTTTTCAAAAAGTGACATCGGTACATACAACTGTATTAGTACTAACTCGTTAGGGAAAAGCGAAGGAACACTCCGTTTATACGGTAAGGAAATGCTCCTATTTATAGTCCGGCCCACACATGTTCCACGAAATAGGTAAACCAACAATTTGTACCTTGTATTTCGTGGAAATAATTGACAGAGTAAAAATATCCGCTGTCCAAGGGAAATAAAAAAAAACAAGCGTAGAGAGATTTTTACTGGCTGGATTCGAATTCACGACAGCTAGATCTTTACAGATTAAGTGAAGGCAAATGAAGTTGTTTGTAAGTACAATCTATTAAAACAACAAATACTGTAAATTACGCCTTAGGTTAGACAAAATGAAAGTACAGTCAGCTGCATAAATAATGTACCTATACGTTTATAATACTTTAGAATCTTGTGTAGGCCTACACTTTCTCAATAAGTATATATATATGTATATATTCATGGTCGGAAGCATACTGATGGATAAGTGTATACAAATATTTAATAAGCGTATACGAGTTTCTAAAGGTTTGTAAATGTATAAATATTTATGTAGCTGACTGTACAACCTGATGATTCGTTTTCTTTTCCAGAAATAAAACTGAATTCTCCGTCTGAAGATTTTAATAACCAGATTAGCGTTGCTGGAGGTGAGTGGTATACTGTAATTTGTTTTAAATGGTAGTTAAACTGATAAGAACGTGTAATAGTTCAACTAACACTACCTTGTCTTTATCGTCTTGTCTGTTTTTATTATACTCTATGCGAGATCGCACCAAGTTTAAATTTATTTCATTCGTCACTTCCTTCTTTACCAACTATAGTGTGCTGGAGGCCTTATTTTACTTTCCCTTCCCACCCTTAAGTTATAATGATTTGGCGGATAAAGCGACACATAGGAAGGGGAAATATTCTCTTCTATTTTGTCCCCTAGTCTATCAATTAAAGGTCTTCATTTGCATGTGTATGATTACCGGTCACTTCGCTATTTCAGCGAATTTATTGCTTGCCCCTTTGTCATCTTTGATAGAAAAAAAATCTTAAACGCATACAATCTTCCTTAGTCTACAACTACCAGTGTAATTAATAATAACTAGAATATTAATTATTAATAAAAAATAAATTTTATTAACAAAGTAATTTTTCAAACAGGTCTAACTGAAGTTGCAAAAGCGATGTCCGAAGATCAACAAAATAATCCGTTATTAACAATATGCTGTTTATTATTGTCAAACATGTTTATTTAGATTTAAAAATGAAATTCCAATTGTAAATAGATGATTTATGCTTTACAGTAATACGATTACAAAAAATGTTTTGTAAATAATTGTTAATACGACAAACAATACAACGATTATTATGTTTTAAACGCGTGCTCGTATAAACTTGCTTAGAATCGCCAAATTCCAAAGAGTATTAAAGCATTTCGAAATGTCACTCGATAATAAGACTGTTTAAAACAAATAAAATGTAATAACTATCATTGGAGTTTTATTATCTTTATAAGAAACATTTTCCTTAAAACGGCCTTGAAAGTTTTCATATTACAATAGCTGTCGCCTGCGACACCGTTAGAGCGTAATTAAAAAAAAGTTATAAAGTAGCCTATGTGTCTTTCAGACTATGTTCTACATCTATGCCAAATTTCAGCGAGATTCTTTCCGCCGAGATACCTTCAAACATCCATCCATCCAAACATTCGCATTTATAATATTAGTAATATGAGCAGATATTACTAACCGTGGGTTTTTAAGAGCCAAGATCCCAGTTTATATACATATTGTTATCATTGCTTTGTCTAAGATATTGTCAGGGATGATGATATATTTTATTTTTAGAGACACATAGATTTTGGTCTCAGAAACCAACAGTAAATTGTCTTTATGAGTTTGAAGACAATTTTTTAATTTATTCATTCACCTATTCCATATTGAGATGAATTGTTTAGTTGATTTTTCTTCGCTCAGAAAGAAGCAGACTGTAAATACCTAAATCTAATATCGTTAATGCGAATGTTTAGATGGATGTATGTTTGTTTGAAGGTATTTCCAGAACGGCTGAACAGATCTTGATGAAATTCAGCATACATATAGAAGATGGTCTGTAAGAACACATTGGCTACTAACTTAGTTTGTTTTTAATACCGCTTGGACAGAGACGCGGGTGACAGCTAGTTGTAAATAAATATTAAAAGATTATTGTATTAAATACAAGATGTGGCACGCGACTCCGTCCGCGCCGTATTAAAAAAAGTTAATAAGTAGCCTACATCTACATCTATGCCAAATTTTAGCGAGTTCCATACAGCCATTCTCGAGATAGCTTCAAACAAACATCCATCCAAATATTCGCATTTTAAGTAAGACTCATTATTTAAAGGAAATCATTAACAAAATGTATTTAAAACAAATAAAATCCACTCTCAAATATTAATTCTACTAACATTACGCAAACAAAATCTCGCTTCGAATTGAAATATAGAGTAATTAATAATAGAGAGAACAGCATTATAAAGCGATGATTTATCATTCGATACTGACGAACATTTACTACCAAATAATCTACGGAACTAATGTATTAATTGTTAGGGAAAATTCTGTAATATTTTCGTTCATTAATCTTTTACATGGAAAGGGCAATGCTCGGAGTCTCTCTGCGAGATCGCATCAGAAATGATGTGATCCGCAGCAGAACGAAAGTAACCGACATTGCCCGAAGAGTTGTAAACCTCAAGTGGCGATGGGCCGGCCATATCGCCCGCAGAATGGACGGTCGATGGGGCCGCAAAGTCCTAGAGTGGCGGCCACGGACGGGTCGACGCAGCGTGGGCAAGCCTCCCGCAAGATGGACCGATGACCTGGTCAAGGTTGCGGGAGCGTCCTGGATGCGGGTGGCACAAGATCGGTCATCGTGGCGATCTTTGGGGGAGGCCTATGCCCAGCAGTGGGCGTCTCATGGCTGAGTAGATAGATAGATAGATAGAATCTTTTACGAATGGAACATATATCATTAATACTAGAATGAAACATAGCAATAAATTGAAATTCAACATTAAATACAGAATATAAATAAGACGCTCACACGCGACTCCGTCCGTGCGGAATTAAAAAAAAACATAATAAGCAGGCTATATGTTTCTACAGAGTATGTTCTATATGTATGAAAAATTTGATCGAGATCCGTTCTGCCATTCTGCAGTGTACCTTCAAGCGAACATCCATCCATATAAACATTCGCATTTATATTATAATATTAGTAAGATTTGCAAAATAATTGCACAAAAATATTATTGTTTTCTTTATAGATAGTAAGCGTCGGTGGCTCAGGGGTCAAGCACTTGACTTGCAATCTGCAGATCCTGGGTTCGAATCCCGCCAAGTACCAATGTGTTTTTCGATTTCCGATTTACATATGTACATTTATCCGACGTTCTTACGGTGAAGGAAAACATCGTGATGCAACCTGCACATATGTATCTGAGAAGAAATTCAAAGATATGTGTGAAGTCAACCAACCCGCACTGGGCCAGTGTGGTTGACTATGGCCTAATCACCCTTAACTTAGGGTAGGCTCCGAGCCCCTCGGTGGGGACGTATAGTGAGCTGATTCCAGTAAGGGATAGATAAGACATTTTCCGGTTATTTTTGCATTTATTACAATTGTCACGAAATTTAAATACAATTAGGCTGTTCGTACACTAGACGTCGACGAAACTATTGTTGCATGGTTGCGTCGCGAGTCTCTCGTTGCCAGCGCTTTGTACACACAACGTTGAATCGTTGACGCGTCTGATCAGTGTATTACTGGAGTCTTATTTAAGTTCTCTTTTTCTTGTAAATGATGGGAAGTGAAATTGGATTTTCCGAACAGAACAGAAAACAACAAAAAATTATTATGACATTTTCGTAATTAAAGTAAATGATTATTAATTCGCTGACCGGCAATTAAAGGTTCGGTGTCCGGAATTGGCGCTCGATTTGTGGTCGGAATTGACAACAACACCTGTTATTACTGCGGTTGAGCAATTCGCTAATTGGCTACGATTTTAATGTTACGGACATTATAATTAATTATCTTTAGATGAAAATAAGTGGCTATTTTAATTAAGCAACTGTTATTCAAAATTCAAACTAAAGAGTTAAAAGAAATTTTTAGAATATTACCAAATTCATTATATTTATATATGTTATATATTTAAATGAGCAATTCTTGTATATATATATAATTGGTATCTTGGAATCGGCTCCAACGGTTTTCATAACATTTAGTATATAGGGGGTTTCGGGGGCGATAAATCGATCTAGTTAGGAATTATTTTTAGAAAATGTCATTTTATTCGTGTTTTATCGATAATCAACTTAAACATAAACTCAACTTTTTCTATCGGTAAGATCGAAAAATATATTATTCATATTTCATCATTTTATTAGTAATTCGTACTTAAATATAATTTCCAAAAACACAATTTACAAAAAAACCGAGCAAAGCTCTGTCGTCCAGGTACTATATATTAAAACGTGAAATTTAAATAATTTAAATATAGTAAAATTAGCTATCGACCGCGACTCCGTACGTGCTGGATTTAAAAAAAAACTTAATAGTTCTATATATGTGCTAAATTTCATCGAGATCCACTGAGCCGTGGAAATCCATCCATCTAGATTTCGCATTTATAATATTTGTAAGATGTAAGGTTTCGACCAATGGTGACCACTCGTTTTATAGTTGACTTAAAATATTATACCTAAAGTAATTTATAGCTTGATTACTTTTGAGAAATCTGCATTAAAAAATTGCTTAATTCACAATCAAACTACATACTTAAGTTAAAGAAAGACTGAGGTTAAGTTACTAAATAGAAATTTAAAAAAGAATCCTCCACAAATATCTTCTGTAAGCGATTATGTTATTTTTAAGTTATATTGTAAATTTTTATTCAATCTTATTCTTTGATTGTTGATTTCTTTCCAGTGCTTTCCCGCAAACAGAAACAGTTCAAATTGCTTTCGAAACGACGCCGTTGTTTCGAACAACTGTTTCTTAGTAAAATTACTTTTCAAATAACTTATACGAAACAAATTGTAAACACGAAAGATGTATTTAAACTAAAAATTAATTCCAGTACTTGTGAACGACATGTTTTGGAAAAGTATTTCAAAGTATTGTTAGAAAGAAAATCCGACACTATGCCGGTGTACTGGCACAAAAGTAGCCTTACTAAAATGTCGACGTTTGTGTCCCCTCACTAATCATTCTGACACTGGACTTTGTAACGAAAGCACGTCATTTGCGCCAAAGGATTCTAACTAATAATGTCTAAAAATATTATAATATATGTAGTCAAGAAGATGGTAATCAAATAAAATTTCAATTGTATGGTACCAATTTGAAGATACATTTGTATTTATTTCTTTAGGAAAAAAGTAGCGACTAAGTAAAGGCATCTAAGTTACAAACTCATATAATCGTGCATTATTAAGTTGGTACAAACTTATCTTCTTCTTCTTCTTGAGGTGCTTCTCCGACTAGCGAAGGTTGGCGATCAGTTCTCCATATTTTCCTTTGTCTCTTGCTTGCGAAAAAGTTGGGAAGCACTCGCAACCCCTGTCCACTCTCGGATGTTGCGCAACCAGGACTTTTTTCTGCGACCAACACTCCTTTTACCGGGAACTTTTCCCATCAAGATGAGTTGAATCAGATTGTATCTGTCGTGCATGAGCAAACTTATGTTACAAGTAAATCGATTCGATTTATATTTAAATACTCAATTATCCAATATATCTTACTTCTTACTAATATTATAAATGCAATTGTTTTGATGGGATGCATTTTATGATAAGTTATCTCCAGATCTGCATACGCGCTGAAATATGGCATAGATGTCGAACAAAGTATGAAAGAACACATAGGCTACTAATTAAGTTTTTTTTTCATTTGTGCAGACTGAGTCGTGGATGACAGCTATTCTCTTATAAATATTTGTTAAAAAAACTGAAACAAGATTTTCATCATCGATCGAGGGGATTGGGGCCTTTTTTTTATAGTCAGGAAATGCATTTACGCACGCCTACGCCGGGCTGTGCAATGGCGTAGGGAGTGTGGGACTCGCCGGCCATAGAAGGTGACCAGAATACCCACTAAAACCTGACTGCCCTCTGACGCATTATGGCGGGCGCCACGGGAACGCTTTAGCTTGCTTCCGTGGGAGGGGATCGGGGCCTACCCTAAGTTAAGGGTGATTAGATGATAGTCAACCACGTTGGCCAAGTGCGGGTTGGTTGAAATCACACATATAATTGAATTTCTTCTCAGATATCTACAGGATTCAAGATTTTAAATACTATTTATTTTTATTTCCATTTTATTGAGCACTTT